CTCAAACTCAAGTCCTTATTTTTACTTGAAACTTCTACATTCGTGTAACGATTACAAGTTTGAGAAAATGAAAAAAATCATATGTTTTGAGCATGTGAAATGTGTTCAGGTTTGTCGATGAGGGCATTAGTGTACCTTTGCCTATGTTCCACAATGTTCAAAAAGAGAAAATACTAAAGTCTTACAAATACTTCCCTTCCTTAAAGAAATTACAGCAGTTAGAAGGTTATGACTATGGTTTAAACAATGAGATTTTCTTGGGACATCTGTTTTGAGATTACATTTTGAATAGATATGAACTCATTTCCTACTAAGCAAGCAATCTACTATTGTTGATAGCTGTTTACCAGTTCTATGAGTCAGATATTAGCTAGTGGCAAAGGTCCCTCTTAAATCCTCCAAGTATATTTTAAACTGTATACATAGTGTTTTCCTTAAATAAAATGTTAAGAGAAGTAAAAATGCAGTCTTTTCCTGCCTCTTGGTAAATTATACTCCAGAAAATGCTGCACTTGGGAATAATATTTAATGTATTTATCTTTAAAGAGTTATTTCCTTTGTTGTCATTAGGGAAGGGAGTAAGACACTAGGTTTAGCAAGTATTTAAATAACATAGAAACTATTAAGAGATGCTCACTATGTCAATATTTATATACTATTTAAAAACTAGAAGTAAAATTAAGTTTCCTTTATTTAGATTAAACTGATTGTGATTAATTTAGTATCCTCAAAAGTGTGCATAATGCCAAAAAAAAGAGGATAAACAGATTAAAACATAGCTATAGATACTATCAAATTGACCTTGAGTTCACCGGTTTTAAATTCCGCCTTTGCAATATCCCAGTCCCAATTTCCAAGCAGCATTTTTTAAGCTGGTTATGTAGATCATTCCTTAAAGCAAAAAAATAGCAATTTATCTGGCCTGTATGTTGTGGAGAGTGTTGCCACTAAAAAGAATCCAGGACATTTTTCCTTCTTATCTGCAATGTAGCTCGTATCAGCCAACCTGTCACAAGATAGTACTTGATATAAACAAGAGATTGCAAAGACATCTCAGTAATCAATATCAGGATGGCTACAGTATGGAAACCCCAACCAGTGCATATCATTTGTCTCAGCATCTATTTCTATGGTCAAATGAAGCATTAATTCAAATCATAAATCTATGGTGATTTAAATCTGGGAATGAGCACCTGCCTGCTTTAATGATTTATTTTGTACATTTCAGTAAGCAGGAGATTTGTCCATATGAACTGACAGGTCACCTTCAGATGCCAAGAGCAGACTGTTTATCACCATGCAGACTAGCATCTCATCTTAGCAAGTAAATATTAAACTAAAAGAATCCAATTGATTGTGGATGAGGGAGAATGGCGACATAGCCATATATTTTACTCAGTGTGTTGATGCCTCACTCGGATCTATCCTCAGGTGCTCACTTCTTCCTAAAGTGATCATTCTGTTGGAAAGATATGAGCTCAAGGTTACCATGTAAAATTGGGATATAAAATAATTATTCAACAGTGTCAAAGCTTTCTTTAAACATCTTTTTCTGGTTAATTTCTAAGGTTCATATTATGAACCAGGAAGGGTTGTGTGATACAAAATTATCCTGTTGTCTTACCCAGCAAATCAAACCAAACAAAGCAAAAACAAAATCTGTTATCTGGGGTTTTAAGGATTCATTTACAATCAAGGAAAAACACAATGCTCCTACAAAAAAAAAGAAAGAAAGAAAGAAAGAAAGAAAGAAAGAAAGAAAGAAAGAAAGAAAGAAAGAAAGAAAGAAAGAAAGAAAGAAAGAAAGAGCCTAAAATGTGTAACAGAACTTATGAGCTAGATTAGTACAGGAGAAAACAAGAGCCCTGAATTGTCTTCAAAAATGTCACCGGATTTGGGCAAGACTGAGTAACAACAATACATCATTTAAGTATCACCTCTCTGAATGGTTTCACTACTTCAAAGAGTCAACAGTTGATAGATTCATGAGAGCAGTCTGTATTCTGAAATATAGGCCTTGGAGATTCTTGGGATTCCCTCTAGAATTCCTGTGCTTCAGTACCACTTCCTAACCACTTCATGGTAATTGGTTCTCCTGGAGGATTCAGCACATCTTGTTAAGACTGCCTACTTACCTACCCATCTCATCCATAGACTGTATGTTCCTGAGTCTTGGGCCTGTGTTGTGATTATTTTTTGTACTCCTAGAATGAGCTAATATCGAATGTCCTACAAAATCTAAAAGATGTAACAGCTGCCCTGAAATCTCCTCACAGACCTGCAGCTTAGCAAATAACAGCTACCAGAGAGAATAGAAAAGCAGGTGGAAGCAATTGATGATGGTAAAAAGGAAGAAGGTGATTTCCAGGAGGACAGATTTGAAGAAATAGTAATAATAATAGCAAAAGCAATCCCCAAGCTATGAACCTTACTGATGACCAAACAACTTGATAAGCAGACATTGTAATAAATAATGTGACATGTATTTTAATTTTCATGATATAGATACTATTATTTATGCCATTTTTTCAGATATGGAGTATTGGGCTCAGAAAGCTTACATACTTTACAAAGTCACAGAGCAAGTCATTACTGAACACTTACCAAGAGACAGGCATTGTGGAGAGAAGATTGTGGCCATCAAAGCTGCAATTCAGGAATTGCTTTGATCTTTGATGCAGCTCAACCCCCACCTTCACCATTGCTTTGTACCTCCCCCACTACCACATCCCTCCTAAAATCACTTTCCTTGATCTCTAGATATATACCTGGGGTGAAAGTCTTCAGGAAGGATAATATTATAAATTGGAAATTCTTAGAGGATAGCAGCATGTGAGAATAGGATGAAAATTACAATGATAACATCTTTTTGCCCAAATCAGCTACAGATATCTAATATAAATGACCTGAATGCCTTAGGGACCAGCAGCAGCAACACTGATACTATGTTAACAGAATCTCAAACTATTAAGACTTTCTAGGAAAATTCAAGTAAATTTCTGTTCCTGGTTCATTTTGGCATTGGATGGGGGGTGTCAAAACTGAAAAGCAGTAACATCTATCAAGTGCATACCTTAATGAAAAAAACAAAAGTCATTTATTCCAACTAAAATATAAAAGAAAATTCAAATTGTTTGTTTTTTAAGCCATTGCAATAGCCTATGTACCAAAATAATTAAAGTAAGCTACAATTTGGTTAGTAGGCAAATTTTGTCATGTACTATCAAATATGAAAAATATGTTTATGCTTAATTATGAACCATGTTCTCTTTATCTTATGCCTGTTGATTTCTCCAAAGTCAACTTCTGCTCTGGAAAATTCAAACAGAGATACCATGTTTTAATGTGTTTTGCTTTAAATGTTGTTAAATTGTCTATTTTAAGAATGCCTTCTCATAAAACCAACTATTAAGAACAGTCTGCTTGAACAGTCTCATCTTCTAAAATTTTGAAAACAATCCAGATTGTTTTGTAATAATAGCCATAATGTACAAGTGGCTAATTACTTGTTTTAAAAAGTGACCAACAGGGCCCCATTTTATCAGTCTAGTAAAAGGCTTTTACTTTAAAGTAATAGTTCTAAAAACAGACTTACAATTCTTGCATTTTACTTCAATTCTGTTTTAATTTTTAAATGTCTAAATATAGGTGTGTAAACCATGCCCAAAACAATCCTCTTCCCTCCCCGTCTTCCCTCCAGGAGCATTACAAACATAAGCACAGATATTATCCTTAGTCCTCTGCAGTTGTAGGGCCATCTCTTTGGCTCTCTTCCATGTCTTTTCATCCTTCTAAGAACTCACACTCACACCTACTCTCCATTCAAACCCACTACTGCTAGTCCTTTGCAATTTCCCTTATGTAGTTCTGCTGAAAAGGTGCATTTTTCCCTTTTTACATTACAAAAGGTGCCTTTTAGCATCACTGAAACAGTATTTTGTGTTTTGTCTATATATTTTACTCTAATATTCATGTCTGTGTATGTTTCCAGATAGCTGTTGTGAAAATGATTGTCACTAAAATCCACAGTATTCCTTTATATACCCTTAACTATGTCTTAATAGACTGAAAGTAGATAGCTGACAATTAACTTAAGAAACAATCTATGAAAATGCTGCATGAAAAAGAGAATTTAATTGAATGGCCGTGAGTTATTAGGGTCTTCATAAATATACATTGGCTATAGTATCTTGCATACATCTTGTAGTACCCAAATTTCTCTTGTTAATTACATTTTGAGCATGATCTCTGCATTTGAAAGAGAAGCAATACAGTGCAATAGCAGAAAAAAATGTTTTGCCGCATCAACATCCAGATGCTAAGGATTTCATTAATAAAAATATTAACCCATATTTGAAGTTGTGTTTGACAAAATGAATTACCCAAATGGATAGTTGGCACAGGTAAAACTGTTCCTTTTGGTTTGACAGTGACAGTTAACTTTTCATCTTTCTCCATATGGTAGGAAAGAAAAAAAATCAAGAAATTAAAGTTGTATTTTTTAAATGAGAGACATTGATAACCGTTATCTATAAAAAGAATTAATCATCAACATAATCTGTATTCCAAGAGGGCTAAGTTTGTGTCTTTTGTTGCCAATGGTAGTAAGTTTCTTACTTAATAACAAATGGATTAAAAGAATAGAAAAGTAAAGTGTAGGGTTTCATTTGTACATATTTCTCTGTCACCTTAGCTGCTCTCAATGTTTTAGAATTCTCTTGATTAAACTTTGCATTATGAAAGATGATAGCTGAATGCTTTTAGAAGTTGCAGACATAAAGTTGATCCTATAATTAAAAATAATGTTGCTAATTATTCCTTTAGAATGAACAATTATCATTAGTTGTTAGAGGCAAAAAGGTATCCTCAAACATACACTGTTTTCAAGCTAAAAGTGTCAACTTTTTGAATGGGTAGCCAACAGTTTTGTTCTGGAAAAGCCAGTACTGCAATTTGGTAGCAAAGTGATCACAATAAGTTTCAGTGAACATAAAACTTACCAACACTTGAATTCATATCCCCGTTTTCAGAGTCTGCTCCATGTTGGTTATTACTGGCATGATAGTTGCTCATGGCTTCTAATTTGATTTTTTTCACCTTCATTGCTTCGGCAATAGCTGCATTGGTAGCAGCAGCAGCTGCTGCAGCTGCTGCTGTCAGACCTTAAAAGAATAAATTAAAAATGAGGTAATTCGAATTCCAATTTTTCATTTAATAGTTCCTGTACTTGCTATAACAAACATACAAACATTTATTAGAGTATCTGATTCCTTTATGCAACACTTTGATAATTTATACTCATTCCCAACTAGACAATGAAACAACATTGATATAAGGGGAGAGAGTGATTGCTACAGCCCAAAATTAAATATTAACAGAAACAAAATTCACAGATAGAAGGCTAATAGTGGAAATGCAGCCACAGTTATATCTTAAAGAAACCAATCTACCCATCTAAATATGTCCTTTCCTGCTTAAAATCCCCCGTAGCTGCCTACACGGAGGGAAAAATCTGAACTGTTAACTGAGTTCACAAGTCCTTTCACAAAGGCGTGTAAACCTACTTCCTCACCCAGTTTGTTTGTTGTCATCCACACCCTGGCTATGTCACACATGTCACCATTACCCATACATGCCCTGCCTCTTCAAGCCTGTGCTTTCACACATGCCATTCCCTTTTGCCTGGAACCTTCTTGCCCTATGACAGACATTTCCTTGACTTCTCATCCTCCTGAAGAAAGCTACTCATTAGAAGTCTTCCCATTCCATGGCCGCCAGCTGCCTGGATGCCTGGTCTGTTCTTCTCCCCCTGGCCCATGTTGATACCTGTGCTGCTGTTATAGGACATGCCACACTGCACTGGAATGGTCCGTTGGGACACCTGTTTTCCTCACTAGATCGTGAACTACTCAATGGCAGGAACCGTGTGTTGCTACACAGCTTGGTATTCCCAGTGTTCAAGGTGTCCAAAAATAAAATATAATATAATGAAAGCTAACACTTAGCTTCTAGTTATGAAATTTAAGTGCTGATTTAAGTGACACAAAAGTAACTTAATCATCTTAATAACCCTCTGTGATTGATCACTATTATCCTTACTTGAAAGATTAGAAAACCATGGCACACGATTTAAAACAGCACACTCTGGCCTCAGAGTTGACACTTTTAACCACTATGCCAAGGAAATCTGTCCAGAATAGTTCATCTTCATCCATCCAGAGAACAGGGGGTAGGGGCAGACATTAAATTAGAAATAGAGTTTGAGCCGGGTGCAGTAGCTCATGCCTGTAATCCCAGCACTTTGGGAGGCAGAGACAGGCAGATCCCTTGAGCCCAGGAGTTTAAGACAAACCTGGGTAACAGGATAAAACCCCCTCTCTACAAAAAATACAAAAAGTAGTTGGGCATGCTGGCCTGTGCCTGTAGCTCCAGCTACTCAGGAGGCTGAGGTGAGAAGATCAATTGAGCCTGAGAAGCTGAGGCTGCAGCAAGCTGTGAGCACACTTGGGTGGCAGAGTGAGACTCTGTCCCAAAAAAAAAGAGAAGAAAGAAAGGAAGGGAAAAGAAAAGGAAGGAAAAGAAAAACAAAAAGAACAAAAAGAAAAGAAACAGAGTTTGAGACAAGATCTTGAAGACCAGAATTAAGACCATGCTGCTCTGACTTTACATATTTATAGAGAGAGATAATAAGCAGAGGTTTTTGAGCAGGGGAGTGGTTTGTCTTGCTTAAATGTGTGAACTTTTGCCAAGTCAGTTCACTTCAGGCTGACGTCCCTCATCTGCAAAATGACAGACACTGGAATGTATAAATGATCTCTCCTAATTCTAAAACTTTAAGTCTACAAGAAGATAAACATCCCCACCCCCACCCATATATATTTTTTTTTACTGTGGCTGCTTTAGTATTTCTGACTACAGTGCTCCAGCCGTTTGAATTTATCTGTGTGATTTATTTCCACTCCCAGCTGGTGGATTAGAGCCTGAGCACCGCTCTCCTCCTTTTCCTCCCCGCTAATCATCACTTCTAGTTACTCTAGCAAATAAGTTCCTGCCCAAGGAATTATAAGGAAGTATTTTTCTATGAAAATCTCTGTTGGTTTTTTAGAGGTTAGAAGAAGACTTCACCTTTCCTTCAAATCAGACCAAAGAGGCCCTGACAACTTTCACCCCAACGCAACAAGACCTTCAGATTAGGTCTTTACATGAAAAACTGATAATCATCCCTTAAAAGGCACTAATCTAAACTCAAAGAATCCATCTGGGTTTGATCTGAACATTCATTGCCTTTTAAGTCACAACTTGAACTGATTCTCTCATCTTCCTATGATTGAATTTTCTCCCCAATTACTCATTTCCTTCAAAGATGTTTCAGAAAATTTTCTTTCCTGTTCTCTTAAAAGTCTCTTTGTGTTTTCCAGCAAATCTTTCTTCCTCAATTTTGTTTCGTTACCAGTGTGAACATCCCATTTTTCCTTGGTTACCTGATGTTGACCCATCTCCAATTTATGACTTCAAAAGTCTTTGTCTTGGATTTGTGCTGCAGGGAAAACTTGTTCACAGTATTCAAATAATAAAGGTAAACTTACAACTCACTATTATCAGAGAGATCCAAATCAAATTAAGTACCAGAAACCATGTCTATGTATGACATGGCCTTGGAACCAACCATCCAATTTTCTTGAATATAATTTTCTTCACCTGTAAAACCATTCTAATCCCCAAGAAAAAATATAAGGACAAATAAGATAAACTACGTGAGGAATGCCATATCATGTTTAGTAAAAACTAGGCATGCTATTCATTCTAGTTTGTTAAAAAGAAAGACTTGGCCTCACTGTAATTTCTGCAGAGTATCTGTGGCCTGACACAGCCCTCTCAGCTGGAATAATCACATTTGTCCTTAGGTGGCTGGATTAGCCCTTGACTTTTAAAAATATTTTTTATGATTTTATCATTTAGCTGATTTATTTATGGTACTCCTTTATTTTTCTATGACAACTTTTCCCAGTTTTACATTTTTAACACAAAGTCGAAAAGATATATGTGTGTCACTGACACACACACACACACACTCTCACACATTTTTACATGCTGTAACTTAACTACAACCCTTTTTAACATTCCACTTTTAGCCCAGTTTTATGAAAGCAGAAAGAAAGCTATGACATATGCAACAATTGTTGATTTTAGCTTCACTAACTCACCTGGCTGTTTGATGGGTTCTCAATTTTAATTATTTAATATCTTTCCAATTCAACTAATTTTCTCCATTCCCACTGCCCCTCCCCACCAGTAAAAGTTCCAATCTTTTCTTTCTTAGAGTCCTGCTCAATATAATAGCTTCCACATCACCCACCTCCAATCTCTTACTATCCATGTCATAGCCAAATCTCATGAAAGTAAAGATTTTTCCTTTTTCTTCCTTTTTTTTTTTTTGAGACATTTTTTTTTTTGAGACAGAGTCTCCTTCTGTCACCCAGGCTGGAGTGCAGTGGCGTGATCTCCGCTCACTCCAACCTTCGCCTCCAGGGTTCAAGCTCTTCTTCTATCTCAGCCGCCCGAGTAGCTGGGATTACATGCACGCACCACCACATCTAGTTCATTTTTGTATTTTTTGTAGAGACGGGGTTTCACCATGTTGGCCACGCTGGTCTCAAACTCCTAACCTCAAGTGATCCACCTGCCTCGGCTTCCCTAAGAGCTGGGATTACAGTCATGAGCCATGACACTTTACCTGAAAGTGAGGATTTGAATATACACTCTATGCCTGCTCTTAGGATCCAGTCCAGTGCTTCTCATGGCTGTCAGCGCCCTTTGTTCTCAGTTCCCTGCCTGTCTGTATGAATCCCTTGCTCCTCCACCTCCCCCTTGCTCTCTGTGCCCCAGGTACATAGGCCTTCTTTCCTTTTCACTAGCGAACGACTTCATTCTTTCTTTTAAGTCAGTCTTTGCACATTCTGTTCTCATTTTCTAGAAGAGCCCTCTATGCCCTGGCCCCAGACTTGCCTATGCCTTCTTCATGCCATCACTTTAAAATTATGTGCTCAGAGTTGGAGGCTCAGGTTCCTGACTCTTCACTATCTACCTAGGAAAGAACTGTCAACATCTGAAGAATCAGCTCATGGCTTACTTTTTTAAAGAGCTGTACCTGACCTTCCCCAATCTACCCCACTTGCTTGTGTTTGCATCTCCCCTGCTATATGTGAGTTTGCCATCCCTAGCTGTGCATCAGAGTCACCCATGGAGCTTTTAAACCATGCGAATAGCTCAGCCCTGCCATCTGAGATTCTGAATCATCAGGTCTGGTTTGGGGCCTCTGCAACTGTATATTTTTGGTTAATCTTACTATTCTACAGGTCATTTTAATGAGTAATTCCAGTAAAGAAAAACAGTCTCTTAAACTCTTTATTGCTCTTTTTCGGGGGCTGGGGCCAAGGAGGGTAGGATTAGGATTCTGACCTCTAACTAGGTCATAGCACCAAAAGGGCAGAAATACTTTCTTAGTATATATATATCCCAAACATCCGCTGCAATGCTTGGCACATATTGTCACTGAATGAAAAAATGCTTATCAAATTAGATTACATGGAAAGCCACAGGAGAAACATGGTCATTATTTTGGCAATGTCAATGGAAAGTAATTTAAAACATTATTTTTATGTTATAATAAGTGTGTATATACTAAGAATAACAAATCTCGTTAATTTAATATAAAGCATGACTCTCCAAAGGTATGTCTTGCCTAGGGCTGGAGAGGATCACAAAGATTCACCACCTCAACCCACTCTGCATTTATTGAACTTCCTGTTGGCCTTGCATTCAATCCCTGATGTAATTCTCAAATCCCTTCCAATTTCCTGTCTCTAAAAACATAGTTTACAATCTATACACTAACCTTAAATAAAGGTCCCATTGTCTATGTTTTTCCCAAGCAAAGTTGTCTTAAAAAAAATCATGTAATAAATTCACAAGATAACTCAAGTCTTTGGTCTATACTAAATAGAGAATATATAAACTATAACAACATTTCTATGTAATCAAGAATTGCCCACTGGTGTAAACACTGGCAAACCATAATATTTGACACATCCTTTTCCTTCCTTTTATAACCCTTTCCACACTTATCGTAGACCTTCTGCCCTGTCTTCAGATTCAGGGAAAT